CTCTCTCTCTCTCTCTCTCTCTCTCTCTCTCTCCTTGTATAAAAACAAGTTATAATTTTCTTATATACATATTGTTTATAATGAAAAATTATAACATATTTTTGAAAACATGTTTTTTGTTATTTGTTTCCCCGAAAGGTATGAAAACGTATTGGGTTTTCATCGATACTGGTCTGTGGACGACACTATCATTGCAACTGAAGTGTCAGGCCTTAAGACAATATTTGCGGCCAATGAGGAGGAAAGTATCAAACTGGCAGTTGTAGAGCCCGGACCCGGAGCTAAACGCTCGCAAATACAAGAGTTCCTCGAGTATAACTACGGACCCGGTGTCCAACACATTGCCTTATATACCAATGATATTTGTGATACTGTGACCAAACTTAAAAACAGAGGTATTTCCAGACATACCGACCCTTTTTCGCAAAAAGATTAGATTAAAAGTAGTGAAAAAACCAAAGGAATTATACGTTAATTAACATTTAGATATTTTTTGTTGCTTTTCTCATACAATAACTGTCTGTTGTTTTAATTTATTCTCATTATTCAAATGACATCTCTTTTTAGCCCAAAAATGATAGTCAAATATCTTGTTTTACATTTACATAGAGTTCTCATAACACTTTAGGCATTAGATTTTCAAATTAACAATATATTAAAGTTGTTGTTTTTATGTTACAATTAAAATATTTTGTAATAAAATTGTATTTTTTTTAACATTTAATGCATTGTAACTGAAGTTTGACTAATATTTGTTACAATTATTTAAGAAAAACTGAAAAATTAATTACCATTTGTTCTTAACATTCATTGTTTTATGTTTTCGTATGTTATGCTAAATAGGAGTGGAGTTTCTGTCGACTCCCGACACATATTACAAACGTCTGTCCGAACGACTCAAATGCGATGATGTGGTGAAGCATGAGATCTCAAAACTGGAGGAATTGAATATTTTGGTCGATTACGACGAGAAGGGATATCTGTTGCAGATATTCACCAGACCTTTGGACGACAGGCCGACGCTCTTCATGGAGATCATCGAAAGACACAATTATAACGGTTTCGGCGCCGGAAATATTAAGGCTCTTTTCGAGGCCATTGAAGCTCAACAGCTATTGCGGGGAAATCTATAGACATTTAAGAGAGACAACGACTGGATATTATTGTTTTAATTTGTCATTGATTTGATATTTTACTATTTTTTACGAACAGAATATCATATTTTACACCAATTAATAGTTGAATAGCCTTTTAATATATTATCAGTATTTTATTTGCTTTGAACACAAGCCAATTGGTTTTACAAAGCCATTAAGTTATATCTAGATTTATTATTACAATTACTTTAGTACAAATTATTTTTATTAAATTTATTCAAATATTTAATTAAAAGTCATGTTATAGAATACACGGTTAATTAATAGTCATGTTATATAATTTACATTATTATTGATTAAAAAATACTATTATAAACAAGTGCATAGTGAATATTTTAGTAATAATTCTAGAACTATTGATATACGGTATTATATTAAACTTATTTAAACTGATTTATTAAATTAACGATTAAATAAAAAAGAGAAATCACTTGCGATTATCTTTGTATCCATTTTATTATTAAAATAAAATAAAAATAATAGTTTTATATACAGTCTAAGGAACGAAACAAACAAATCAATTACACAACTAATCATCCAATCATTGCATTCGTCTCATTCTTCTGTCCATTTTCTTCTGCTTTTTGTCCTCGGCTTCTGTTTGCTGTGGATCTGGTTGTTGAAAGAACCATGGTCCTAATATATTCACCCACAGCATATACATGGCATAACCCGGAGCCTATCAAATCAAAATTAACAAATGTATTGCAAAATGTTTGGATTGATCCGTAAATCACACCAATTGATCATTTATGTAATTTATGGTTCCGTTTGCGTCACACTTACCAGAAGCCATAAAATCCAAAAATAATTGGATATCAACGACAAACTCTGGACACCAGTGGTCAGTATTATCAAGTCCTTCAAATGTCTGCCAAACAAATAAGACAAAACACATCACCAATGGATGCGATATGTGGTAAGTAATGACACGAAGACATACTCTGCAAATCCATTCTTCATATTAAGATCAATGCCTCCGTCGATGAGACCACCGGTCGGTGAGTACACGGCTTTCGCCATGTATTGCATGACTCCGATTGATCCCAAATACACGGCACCCGAAAACACGATAATCACCTGACAATCAGATCCACAAACATAAGACACGAGTGACCAATAAGTATCACAAATTTACCCAATATTTAAATGTGAATAAATCACTGAAAACAACGGACATCACCGCGAAGTATATAAACTGCAAAGACATTATCATATAATGGTATGCAATGTAATGCATGTATGGATGCAAACCATGGCTGCGGAGGACATAATGGTGTAGAAGCGAAGACACGACTTGTTCTCTTCGACGATCTGCTTCTGGCCTTTGGTTAAGGCCTTACCCTTTGGGACCTATTGTTCGCACAATTCAATGATTATCACAATTAATGGCAACAAATGGTGTCTTCAATACTCACAGCCATTAATCACTGATTTCTAGTCTTGTAATCAAATGGACACGAGTTGTGGCGAAAAGCGATTGATTTTGACGGCAATCCGATTGATATTAAACTAAATGTAAGTTTAATTAAATGTAATTTAAATGATTATAAGTGTTAACTAAACACGTGTCTAATGTTTATCAATAGTTTTACAGTTATTGTCAATGAAATAACATATGAAATAAATAACGTTTGGTAACTGAAACAAATTGTATCTAGGTCATTTGCATTCATTCATTGTGGTATATATTAAGATAATGTTTAAGCGTATGTCCAGTTATATGATAATAAAGTTATTTTTTTGGCAGACATCATCATTGGATCAAATGATGTTAAACTAAATTGTGTGACAAAATTAAAAGTTTAAACAATTTGTATATTGATTTGATATAGCAGTCAACATCCCATCATCTCTCAGACCATAGCCCTGTGTTAGTTAGCAGACCCTTTGCCACAACCCCCACATCCCTCACAACTGGTTTACTTTCGGTCACTCCAAGTCTAAAATACCGATTCTTGTCCACCACTTCTAACTTTATTCTTGTCATTCAATCTATTCCTTCAGTTTTGTGATCATTTTTATTAAGCGTTTGGAAGTTTGTATTTTTCTAAACAGAGAAATCTTCATATAGGAGTCGATGTCTCCCGACGGCAGTCATATAGTGGTGATCACAAGAGTGTAGAGATTTATATTCAATTGTTTGAAATTTACTGTATCTTAAATTGTGGACAAATTTGTATATTAAATAATTTAAGACATTTATTTGTTTTTCCATTCAATGCATATAAAATATATAATTAATTAAGAATTTAATGCAAAATTGTGTGTATAGTAAGTTATTATTATTAATAACTGATAATTGAATTAAATTTGAAAATTAATTCTTAGCCAACAATTGTTTTATTGAAACAATTATATTTTTTATATTTGGAAATCATTTAAAAATTATTAAAATACTTTGAGAAAGCATTCAAAACCAAAAGTGAAAAAACCTTCACTTTTGACTGAATTAACTAAAAATTCTGCAAAATATTTAACAATTTGTTTAAATAACTTATGAACTAATAACTTATTTGTATTAATTATTATATAATTAAAGGTAAATATTATATAATTTTCAATGCATTAGTTATTGACCCTAAAAATATGTCTGTATTGATGTCAACACATTTAATAAAGACAAATAAATAGTTAATTTTGTAATAAAACATAGTATTAATTAAATTTGACTGAAAGTATCTCATCTCTCGATTATCCAAAATAGCAATGAATTTAAAACGAGAATTGAGTTCAAATCAAATGGCTTTCATTTGTTTGATTACTTGGATTACAATTCTACACATTATATGCCATACATTTGCTGTCAATCAATATAATTATCGCCAATACAATCATAAGGAATCTTATCCTCAAGAACTTGTTGTTTATGACGGAAACCATAATAAGTATAAAAGTGATCGAAACAGACATTTCGTACAATTAAATAACAGGAATTCAAGTGATGTTAATTTTGTCCACAAATCATCGCCTGTTTTCAAAAAGTTAGGTCTTTATTACCTACTATTAGCCGGCGCTTTGGGTGGCGGCTATGGGTATGGCTATGGATACGGCTATGGTTATGGTTACGGATATGGAGGTAACTCTCTCTCTCTCTCTCTCTCTCTCTCTCT